GGGGAAACGCAACGCCCCCGCGGCCACCGGCCTGGAGCCTCCGTCTGGGCCCCCGGCTGCGCTGGCCACCGCCCACGCCCAGGTGTTTGCCCCCAGTGCTTGCCCTTAAACACTTTGCCCGCTAGGGTGAAGGGTTGCCTAGATTCCGCCTTAACAAAGGCCGTTTAGCCTGCTCCGCGGCGATTTCTTTGCAGTCAGTAAAAGAGCAGAATGCCATTTATGTAGACCTAGAACATGAAGAAGCATGATAGGAAAAAGTAGAGCCTGTAAGAGTAAAAACAAACCGGTAACAGCCCCTGAAGGCACTGCAGTAGGCAGGTACTGACTGCAGCTGCAGTAGGGGGGTGGGGGGCCACTTCTTGTCTGTTTTCAAAATCAGCACCTCTCAACGTGGCAGTCACTGCCAGTGTTGGGCTGTCCGCATCCCCTCCCCCACACCGCATCTTTTCCCTATTTTGTCAGCATCATCTCTTTATAATACCTTGTTTCAAACTTGCCACACAACACCTCAAGAAGTGAGGAAACTGAAGGAATCCTCGGTACGGAGATGATCTAGAACAATCATACTCCTTGCAGAAGAATCCCCGCCTATAGCATCGCAGGTGAACCCTATTTTTGTCACTGTCAATTTCCAAAGCCACACTACTCCAGTCCGTGGGCTTCTTTACATCCTCCCTTGAATTCTGACTTGTTTGAACAGCCTTCTAGAACTGTGGTCTTCAAAGTGAGATGCTCCAATCTTTAAGATGAGGGAAGAAAATATTAGAACTATAATGTATACTTGTAAATGCCTCCACTGGAGTATTCATTGATCAAAAGGGGACTGCTGAGCCATTGCATTCTGAAGGCTCCTCAGAATCATAGTTCTTTAAAATGTTGGTGCATATTTATTTTTTTAAAAATATATTGAATACTCAGATCTGACGGTAGCCATGTTGTTTCACTTCTGTATAAGATAAAGTACACATTTTAAAACTGGGGGGAAATGCTCTAGAAACCACCTGAACTGCTTACTGGGTCTTCTCTTCATGTTTCAAAAACAGTTAACATCTTATTTTGACTTAACTAATTTAAGAGAACTGCCATGATTCCCTTCTACCTCATTTCAGCTTTAGACTAACTTTAGACTAATACACTTCAAGCTTCATCTCCTAACAAAGTTCCACTTCATGGCAAACTTAGCACATACTAACCCTTTCCTCATTGCAATCCTTTCTTCTTTCAGATCTGGTTCTGCCTGTTAGGAACCAGAGCCCAACTGAGGCATTTGCCCCTTTCATCTTCACATTACTGAGTCTGTTTCTAATAAATTGATACTGACATCTTCTATTAACACCTCCACACCCTGAACAGCAACAGCTGCCATTCGCTGAGACCACCCACTCTGAGCTAGCCACGGTAACAAGTGCTCTGCATAAACCTCCTATGTGTACCCTTGCCACAGTCAGCTCAAAGGTGGAGAAAATGTCATATAGCCAGAAAGTAAGAGTTTACAATATACCTTTATTCTTTAACTTCTAAACAACATTTAATTTGTCCTTCAAAAGTTAATTATAATTGGCAACAGCTTTTCTCAGATAACTTCTCTCATGTCTCAATAGAGAGGAAGAATTTAGCCCTTGATTTAAAACACACACACAAGGGGAGACGGAGAGGACCTGAACTACTAGCGACACTCTGCCGTCAGGTCAGTGTATGGAACGTCCAGGCCAGCGGTTCTTCCTGATGCTGTCTTCTAGTGGACGAGTAGCTGACAGCTTTATATTTACAAGTTCCGAACAGTGCTTGTTTCATTCATAGATTCTCCGAGGCTCCTGCAGCACCACACCACCTTCTGTCATAGCACTCTCTAGTCGTTTGAACTGGTTTTGAAGATGAGGAAAGAAGGAAAAAACTGAATCAGCTGACAGTAAATAGTTCACTTCTCAAGAGAAAAAGAAGTAAACTGATTTGCTCCTTGCTAACTTCCTAGCCTACACTGGTTTTTCAGGAAGTGATCTTAATAACAACATAGACAAGAAAAAAGAGGATGGAGAATGTCAAAGATTAGTAGCATTTTAAAATATCATACAGACAAGATGTTCATATATGAACAAAGAAGTAGTGGTCAACGTTATGATTGTAGAATCAGTCAAGTGGGTTTGAACCCTGCCCTTGCCACACTGACTGGGCAAGCCAGCCTCAGCTTACTTTATACAGAAGCAGGAACGCCAGTCCGGATGCTATGGGCTGCCGTGAGGATGATGTGAGGTGACATACATCTGGATACTCACCGTAGGGTCTGACACATGCAGAGAACTTAGTAAGTGGAACTATTATTATGTAAGTATCTAATGTCAAGAATTAACCCAATACCTTTTAAATAAGTACAGGAAAACAAAAATACCGAGTCTGAGGCTGCCTCCCAAGGAGTTGGTTGGTAGGCCATGAAGTTGATTCCTGCTTCTAAGCATCGCTCTGCCAGCACTCGTCCCACACTCTCACAAGCCACCACGTTTTTGGTACTATAAAGGTGCCTTTTAATAGCCCATTCACGGGTGGATGCTGAAACCACAACCTGGCCACTGCGGTGTTCCACAAATGCTTCTACATGATGCTGAGTCCTTATGACTCTCAACCTAAATGAGGTGAGAAAATAAAATCATAAAAGAATCCTAAAGATAAATGACTCTGGTGAATAAATGCCTAAATATTTCTCAAGAATGCAGTGTTTGGTTTATTTATATACATAAGTATGTTATGGTTCAACATACTTAACCTGGATTTTACTTGGGAAAGGTGTTTTTCCTCTGTCTTTATGAGGATATCCTCAATAATAAACAAAATATTTCTAGTTAACTTCAAATATCCAGGAGAAATTTGGTATTTGAGAGCTAAGATTTATTTACACAGCATCTACTTTACAACCGGATTTGAGGAGGCAGAGCTAAGTTGCTGACCCTCCACTGGATAAAGATATACTTACTCAGTTTTTATTTTCCAGCTAACACCAAAATAAATGCAAGATGAATCAAAGACTTAAATACAAAAATAGAAATCATAAAAGTACTAGAAGACAACATGGGAGAATTTTTTTTAATAATCTCAAAGAAAAGCCTATTTAACTATATCAAATTTTTTAATGTAACATCAAACTATGTCATATGGCTTAAAAAAAAACAAACTGACAAAGTTTCCTGCATGGTAAGAAAAACAAAAAAACAAAACAGAAATGAAATCAAAAGGCAAGCAATGAAACAAAAAATATTTTAAAATCATATATTGTTCAAAGGGCTAATTCCCATAATATGCAAAAAGCCTCCTATAATAAAAAATGACCAGTAACTTAACAAGCAAAGAACCTGGACAAACTGTCCACAGAATAGGAAAATATTAATAACTCAAACCCATGAAAATATGCCCAATCCTGATAAAATGCATGGACAAGAAAATTCATTATAACACTGTCTGAAATTATAAAAGATAATCAGTAGGGAGCCAGTTAATTAAAACACCCATGCAATGGTATTTCACACAGTTAAGAATGAAGTCACACTTTTTCGATGCTCCTGCTGCTAACATTTATTGAGCACTTACTGTGCCAGGGAGTCATAATTGTTTACAGGTATAGCTCATGTCTCAAAATAATTCCATTATTCTTTCTTTCTTTCTTTCTTTCTGTAAGGCTGCAAAAACTGACACAGAAAGGTTAAGTAACTTTAGCAAGATTACAACCTATGGTAAGTAAAGGAGGTAGGATTTAAGTCCAGGGGTCTGGCTCCAGAGCCGATGTTCCCAACCAACAGAAAGTATTTCCAAGATGTATTTTTACGTATGAGT